ATGGCTATCATCCTACAGTGACAAGGCCCTACATGTTTATGTATTCTGCTGTCTTGATTGCCAAAACAAAGCATACCTCAAACTCCAGTGGGRTTAAGTAAATTCAGAATGGGTGGCAGAGGGTTCCTAACATTCTGATGTAGTATGACAGACTGGCAGAAGCCTTATCTGGCAGCCCCAGGGTCTTGGGCAAGCCAGGAAGCCAGGTGACTACTCTGGGACATATCCTGCCCRAGTTCAGAAAAGCAGGTCAGAAGGTCATGGAGCATCCTGACCCCACCCAGTCTCTGTGGGCAGAATATCTGTATGTTCTTTCTCTAGTGCTCTGCCCAAACTTTTTTTTTTTAATGGTTTTTATTAATTTTTGCCATACTGGGGATTGAGCCCAGCAGAGCTCTACCACTGAACTATATCTCCAGCCCTTTTTGCTTTTTATTTTAATTTTTTCTTTTTATTTTTTGGTACAGGGAATTTAACTCAGGGACACTCAGCCACTGAGCCACATCCCCAGCCCTATTTTGTATTTGATTTAGACACAGGGTCTCTCTGAGTTGCTTAGTGCCTGACTTTGCTGAGTTGCTGAGGCTGACTTTGAACTTGCAATCTTCCTGTCTCAGCTTCCTGAGCCGAAGACATGTGACACTCGCCCAGCTGCTTTTTATTTTGAGACAGGATCTCACTCAGTTGCTCAGGCTGCCTTTGAACTTGTGACCCTCCTATCTAGCTTCCCAAGTACCTGGTATTACAGGTGTATACTACTGAACGCCGMTATAATAGCTTTTTTTTTTTTTTTAAGATATAATTTTTAGGGGTGGGGATGTGGCTCAAGCTACCGGTAACGTGCTCGCCTGGCATGCGTGGGGCGCTGGGTTCGATCCTTAGCACCACATAAAAAAATAAAGATGTTGTGTCCACCGAAAACTGAAAAATAAATATTAAAATTTCTCTCTTTTAAAAAAATGATATATATTTTTTAGTTGTAGTTGGACACAATACCCTTATTTATTTATTTATTTATTTAATGTGGTGTTGGGAAACAAATCCAGGACCTCGGACGTGCTAGGTGAGTGCTCTACCACTGAGCCACAACCCCAGCCCTATAATAGCTTTTAAAAAATCAAATTCAAGCTGGGCATGGGTAGTACAYGCCTGTGATCCCAGCAACATGGGAGACTGAGGCAGGAGAAGCGACAGTTCAAAGTCAGCCTCAGCAACTTAAGAGAGGCTCTAAACAACTCAGAAAGATATCCCCCCCCACACACACACACAGATTTGTCTAAATAAAATTCAAAAAAGGTCTGGGAATGTGGCTCAGTGCTTAAGTGCCCCTGGGTTCAATCCCTGGTACCAGCCCCACTCTCCCATCCCCCACTCCAAAAAAATCCAAGGGACCAGGAAAGACTAAACTAGTTTCAAGGAAACTTCCACCCCACTCASTACCCTGCCTTCTCATCTGTTACCAGCTCCTCTTTCAGCTAAATCCTAGACTTATAAACTGGATCCCTTTTCCTCTGATCTCCTCAAGGACATCATTTGTTTTGTTTAAGGTACTGGAAATTGAACCCAGGGGTGCTCTACCACTGAGCTACAACCCCAAACCTTTTTTACTTTTTATTTTGAGACAGGGTCTCATTACATTACCTAGGTTAACCTTGAACTTTTTATCCTCCTGCCTTAGCCTCCCGAAGTAGCTGGAATTATAGACGGGCACTACTGTGTTGGGCTTAAGCACTTTCTTGAGAAACCTAATTTTTTAAAATTGTTAATAGTATCTTTATTTTACTTATTTATTAATATGTGGTGCTGAGAATCGAACCCAGTGCCTCACACATGCCAGGCAAGTGCGCTACTGCTGAACCACAGCCATARCCCCAGCCACTAGAAACTACTAATTTGTGGGGTTGGGTTTTTTTTTTTTTTTTTTGGTAGTGCTAGGGATTGAACTCAGGGCTTTGTGCATGTGAGGCAAGCACTTTGCCAACTGAGCTATATCCCCAGCACCTGAGAAATCACTAATTTAATATGAAGTTCAATGAGTAGATTCCCAAGCCTCAATTTATAATCTCTGTATGTAAGACCTGAGAATTTTTTAATTTTTGAGAAACTAAAAAATAGGTGGCTTTTTCAACATAATTACCCGATGTAATGTTACTGGATCATTTTCTTTTTTGTAAATAAAGATATCAAATACAGAAAAGTTGGGAGGATAGTTTAATGAAGACCTTTATTCCCTCAGGTACAGTTGTAAAAATTTTTTCTCATTTGCTTTTCCTCCCTAGTGAATCCTTTGAGAATAGGGCAAAAATTATGAAAGTTCATCCCCAGATTCTTCAACATGCCCCTTGCTAAARGTAAAGATGTTCTGAACAGTTACAATGCCATTAACATAACAAATAAAAGTAACAGTAGTTTCCCAACACTTCATACCTGGTCCATACTTGGATTTCCCCAACTGGATTTTTTTTTTTTTAAGTTTTTAGTTTATTTTCCTTCAGATCAAAACCCAGACAAGACTCACACCTGTTTGATTCTTATGTCTATTTTGTATTTTTATATGTCCTTTTGTATTTTTTTTGGTGACATCACAAAAGGTTTTGGTTCAGTGTTTCCAGATAATCAGATTAAGACCAATTTTGATGTGATGATTGCATTAGTGGATACTCACCTGATGAGGGTTAATACTTTATTGGTGATGCAGTTTGGTCACATGTTTAAAGTGGTGACCATCAGACTTAAGTATCTGTGGAGTGATGCTTTGAATTGGTGTGAATGTTTTGCTTCTACCACACAGTGATCCTTGCTTGTCATTTTTTAGATTGTGTAAAATGGTGATTTTCTATCATTTCTTCTAYACTTATTATTTGACTTCTATAAAAAAGCTTTCTCTTTTTTTAAGTTACCACTATGGAATTGTTAGGGGTTTTTTGTTTTTATTCAATATATTCTAATCCATTAGCATAATTTTTTTCTTTCTGGTACTGGGAATTTAATTCAGAAGTACTCTACCAGTTAGCTATATCCCCAGCTTCTTGTTTTTGAGAAAGGGTCCTTGCTAAGCTTCTGAGGCTGACCTCAAACTTGTGATTTTCCTGCTTCAGCCTCCCGAGTACCTGGGATTACAATCCTGTACCACTGCTCCTAGTTCAGCATTATTTTTTTATGATGATCAAGTTTCCTAAATCTGACCCTATGGAGCCCCGCTTCAGGTCAGCTTCTGTGTCCTCTTAACATGATTCCCTTATTCTTTTTTTAGGGGGAGCAGGGTACCAGAGATTGAACTCAGGGGCACTTGACCACTTAGCCACATCCTCAGCTCTGCTTTGCATTTTATTTAGAGATAGGGTCTCACTTAACACACCTCACTTTTTTGCTGAAGCTGGCTTTGAATTTGCAATCGTCCTGTTTCAGCTTTCCAAGCCACTGGGATTATAGATGTGTGTCGCTACACCTAGCTCAGATTGCATTTATTAAGTTTATYCTTTTTTGTTAAGCACAGCCATTCATAATTGCCAAGAAGAGCTTCATTTGGTATAACAAATATATCTACACTGAGAAATGTAATTATGTCCTGAAGCTAGTAAACCTTAGTTAGCTTCTTCAACATAAAAATGGAATCACAGTCCTTATGACTGTCTTCCTAAAACCTTGGACTTGGAGCCATTGGCCATCTATTCCTCTTACTTTCCAACTGGATTGCCAGACCCCACCCAATCCATACTTACAGCTCACAAAAATCTTTGTTCCCAGGGACTTCCTTTGCAAAGGCCAGAGTTTTTTTCTGTCATGCACCATTGAATGATAGGGGATATTTTATTTAAAATTTGTCCTTAGGCAAAATCAAATAGCTATGATGTCACTAGACAATATAATCTTATAGGACCACTATGATAAATACTACCCACTGTAAATTGAAACATTGTTGTTTGGTACCTAATTATATTTTGGTTTTAGGGTTGCATATGCAGGTCGGCTGCCAAGTGTTTTTGCTTTGCTCAATAATTTCTCAAGAAATTGTTCCTCTGAGGACTTCTCTATTCTTGGGAGAGAATGTTCTCCTGTCTACAGCTTTTCTTATCTTCTGACTTCCTGTCTATACCATTTAAGTTTTTCYTCCTCTCTGACTCGGAATGAGGATATCCTGAGTATAATGGTCTGAACTTTTTCCCCTTATTGCAAATACTGTACATGCCCTGGGGATTGTGGYGCACGCCTATAATCCTATCAGCTTGAGAGGCTGAAGCAGGAGGATCACAAGTTTGAGGCCAGCCCGAGCAACTTAGCAAGACCCTGTCTCAAAATAAAAAGGGCTGGGGTTGTAGCTCAATGGTAGAGCACCCCTGGCTTCAATATCCAATACTATGAAAATAAAAAAACAAAAACCAGGTACATGTTTATTAGATAAAAATGAATAAATACAGCAAAATTTTAGCAAAAATTTTATCTAATATTTTGGGGGTTTATGTGGGTTGGGGACTTCATACCAACTCATTGCATAAAGTCTAAGGAGAGAAAGGATTTGTATTTCTCATTTTGCAAATAAAGAAAAATGATATTTAAGGTTAAATGATTTAGAGATGTAAACTAATAAGTGGGAGAACTGGTCTTCAAATCAGAACCAAGAAATACTGCCCTACAAGAGCCTTTTCTCTTTTACTTTTTTTTTTTTAAATATTACTACTTGTTAAAGTCCTTACCAACTTTTTATTTTTAAATTTTTGTTGGCTTATTTATTCACAGGTACCTACACAAAGCAGGAGACACTGTTGTATATTTATATATTTGTGGTGCTTGGGATAGAACCCAGGGCTTTATGCATGCCAGGCAGACACTCTACCACTGAGCCACAGACCCAGCCCCACGAGCCTTTTCTATAAACAAACATACACATTTTTTATTTCTACATATTGTGACCATCTTTTCCATGTCAATAAATAAGACTTCAACAGCATCTCTTTAATCYGGTGTCCTTTTGTTTCCTTCCCTCCCGGCCCTGTTCCCAGGATCGACGAGAACGTGCTAGGAGCCCAGCTGGATGTTGAGGCTGCCCATTCAGAGATCCTCAAGTACTTCCAGTCSGTCACCTCCAACAGGTGGCTTATGGTCAAAATCTTCCTCATCCTCATTGTCTTCTTCATCATCTTTGTGGTCTTCCTGGCCTGAACCCTCTTCACTCTGAGGCACTCCATGAGGGTTTGGTACCCTCCCAGAAGGGCAGGTGGCCAGTGCTGCCACTGAGCCTATGCAGGGTGCTTGGGAGAAAGGCCCTGTGTTTCCCTGGAACTGCTAAGAATGGCCACTGCCCCTGATCCCCCACCCCTTGCCTCTGGCCACCCCGTACTCCCCCTCACTACCCTCAGGCCCATGGAACACGTGGTTCTGGATTTGGATTCTGCTGTGAAGTGGCTGGAAGGGAGTAGAGACCATCTGGGGGCTGGTGAAGGAGGAGGTTTTTTTCCACCAGGAGATTTTTATAAACCCTCCCCAGTCTCTCCGAAAGGAACTATTGGCAGCAAGGGAAGATGATGCCCCTCCCTTCCTTCCTGAGAGTGAGGAGAGGAAGCAAAACTGTCCCAGGGACCAACTTACCATCTGGGTTAGAACTTGGCCTCCTTTCTCTCTCCATTATGTGAGGCAGGGGGCCCTGAGCCCTTCAGCTGCCTGCACAACCCCTGACTTTGGCTGCTGGTGACTCGATCTGCCAAATGCGCTACAGCCCGTTTCCTCTCAATTACAGCAAGACTGTCAGCCTCACTAGCCTTGTTGTCATTTCTGGGTGGGAGCGTCGAAGGGCTTGGGCGCTTGCTCTGAAGGGGCCCCACCGCCAACTCTGGGCAGCTTTGGGGCTTTGTACACACATCTGTTTCCAGGCAGGGACTAACCAACACCTCATTAGCATGGAAACTTCCTTTTGAAAGGGAAAGCTGGATCCCAGAGTAGGTCCCTGATTGGTGGCCTACTTAAGCACTGTTTGAACCTGTTTTATCTGCATCCTCCAACCAGTTGACCCCTAAATCTTCCTKGAACTGAATAAGAGGGAGTTATGCCTACTGCCAGAAGCAAAAGGGAAGTGAAGAATTTCTCAATTTCAGCTGAGGTTCTCTCCAACCTCCTCATCAAATCCAAGACAGTCACGAAGAATGGAGACCTGCCCGCAATATCCTCCTTCCGAGGAGGTTACTGCACTGCTTTGTCTTTCCTGTTCACCCACAATCCACCACCGGTCACTCCAAGGGCCCCATTTCACACATTCCAAGGGAGGCTCAAGGTATAGAGAACAATCACCACACTCGGGCAGGTACTGGGCTTTTGGGGGTCGAGCCCATCTGTCTTGGCATTTAAAATTTCTCTTTCCAGCAAGTGGCCCACCTTTCCGTCTGCTCTGTTGACGCGTGATGAGGGTGTAGCCGGAATGCTAGTGGTGGGTGGGGCGGTTTGTGAGGACGAAAGCTCGCCAAAATTGGTGGGAGAGGAAAGCGAGGCTTGCATCCACAGCTGCCAAGGCTGAATCCCAGTAGAGATCAGTGAGGCATCACTCCCGCCCCGAAGCTCGCTCTCCATTCCTCGGAAACCCTCCGTGAGGCCTCCTTCCCAGCTCCTCTCATTTCCGGGCTGCAGCGGCCAGTTCCGTTCCAGCGCAAAGCCTGCGGTTGCGGGGTAGCTTCGACTGAGGAGCCAGGAGCGGAGTGAATCTGCTGGAGTAAAGGGGATTTGGGCGGGGCTTGGATGGCAGGAATAGSAGGAGTAGAGTGRATTTGGGCGGGGCTTGGATGGCAGGCCCCGCCCCTCGCGACCCTGCGTTTGCGCACGCGCATATGGTCCGCTTCTTCCGCGTGGCCCCGCCCACAGCCGGGGGAAGTCGGGCGGCGCACTACGTGCTTCGCTATATAAATGCGGTGGCGCCCGGCGTAGAAGAGGCAAAGTGTCCGGAGCGGCAGGGCGTTCGGACGTTAGAGGCAGTCGGCTTCCTAGCCTGAGACCGCCCCCCCTGCTCTTCRCAGTGCAATGGCGGACGAGGGAAAGTCTTACAACGGTAAGTGCTGGCCCTCAGCCCCGGAGCGAGCGATCTGGATCTGGGTGGGCGGCGCCGGCCTAGGCCGCAGCCCCGGTTCGGGAGGCCGCGAGGGGCCCAGCGTCCACGGGCAGCGGCGGCGGCGGCGGCGCGGGCCCTGCCGAGCCGAGGGCTAGACAGYCCAGGGGCACCGACGGGACTCGAGGTGGGCGCCTGGTTGTTGACTCGGGAATCCTGGCGTTGGAGGACCTGTGGCTCGGAGCGGATGGCTCAGGGTGGGGTGACAAGATTCCTTTGAACTTGGAGGGTGGTTGATGCCTGTCAGTTCAGTTGGGCGGCCTCACTCTTACTTTAATGTGAGTCTGCCCTGCTCGTGGGCTGTGCTGGTGCCCTATTTTTGACTGCGTCCAGTGGTCTTGCCCCCGCCTTCAGCCTTTGAGACTTGCCCACCAACTGGRTGTTCTAGTCGGAACACTTTATTGGTGGTTAGTCCATTGTGGTGATCAGGAGAGCATGACAACCCAGGTTTGAATCCTGCGTTGGGTACACCAAGTTTGAGCGAATTAAATTTTCAGACCTTATTTTCCACTCCCTTAATATGGCTAGAAAGAGTACCTATCTCCCAAGTTTTTGTGTGTTTATTTAAATGAGACAATTCCTATCAAGTGCCTGGAGCTTAGTGGCTGGCACTGGAGAAAGTTTTAATTTGTTTTTTTGTTTTGTTTTGTTTTGTTTTGGGCACTCAGGGATTTAGCCCAGGGGTGCTCTACCACTGAGCTACATCCCAGCTGTTATTATTTTTAATTTTGATTCAGGGTCTCCCTAGGTTGCTGAGAGCCTTGCTAAGAAAATGAGGCTGGTCTTAAATTTGTGACCCTCCTGCCTTAGCCTTTCGGGTCCCTGGGATTACAGGTCTGTTCCACTGTAACTGGCTGAAGAAATTTTTTGTTTTGATTTTGTACTGGGTATTGTTGAACCCTAGCGACATCCCCAGCCCTTTTTATTTTGAGACAAGTTCTCAATAAGCTGCTAAGAGTCTTGCTAAATTACTGAGGCTGGCTTGGAACTAGAAATCCTCTCTCTCAGCCTCCCAAGTTGCTGGGATTACAGGTGTGTGTGTCATTGGCACCTGGCTGGAGAAATTTTTTTTTTTTTTTTTTTTGGTACTGGGGATCGAACCCAGGGGAACTTCACTTAGCCGCATCCCCAGCGCCCTTTTTTTACATTTATGTAGAGACAGAGTCTCACTGAGTTATTTAGGGCCTCAATAAGTAGCTGAGGCTGGCTTTGAACTAGAAATCCTCCTGTCTCAGCCTCCTGAGCCAATGGGATTTTACAGGCAGTGCCACCATGCCCGGGCTTGGAGAAAGTTCTTAATGAAAATCGGCTGCAGCTTTTATTCATTTCTCTTCTCCTAGGGTTATTTGTTGAATTTCATTGTTTACATAGTACTAGGTATTAGGTAGACTTCCTTGGATTTTTTTTTTTCTTTTCCCCTTCTGTGTGTTTGTGCGCGCATGTGTGTGTGTGTGTGTGTGTGTGTGTGTGTGTGTGTGTGGCTAGAGATCAAACCTAGGGCCTCACTGGTGCTAGGGAAGTGCTCTAGGATTCAGGCCATATTCTTTGTTTGTTTTTGTTTTTACCAGGGATTGAACCCAGCCAATCTTTACCTCCGAATTGCATCCCTGGCTCTTTTTATTTTATTGTTATTATTATATTATTAATATTATCATTATTATTTTGGTACCCAGGATTGAATCCAGGGGTGTTCAACAACTGAGCCACATCCCCAGCCCTTTTTTTATATTTAGAGATAAGGTCTCGAGATCTTTGAACTCGCAATCCTCCTGCCTCAGCCTCTCAAGCCGCTGGGATGACAGGAGTGCACTATTGTATCCCTCTCAGGCCATACATTTCAGGAGCCTTGGTTAAGCACACTAAAATGATGYTGCCACCAGACCTGAGCCAAAAAGTTGTCTCCTGAGTTAAAGGGCATTCCTAGTCAAAGAAGCCAATCATTTTACAAACTTCACAGTGGCTGTTTGAGAATAAGATTTTTTWAAAAAWATTTATTTTTTAGTTGTAGTTTGAGAACAAGATTTTTAAAAAAGATTTATTCTTTAGTTGTAGTTGGACACAACACCTTTATTTTGTTTATTTATTTTTATGTGGTGCTGAGAATTGAACCCAGGGCCCCGYACTTGCTAGGCGAGCACTCTACCGCTGAGCCAAAACCCCAGCCCTGAGAACAAGATTTTTTAGGAGGCCCTTAAATTGGTGATATTTGTGACCAGTGTTTGTATTGTTTAGGCAAGAGAAATACTGAGTGGTAGGTCCCAAGTGGCTTTAAGGGGTCTGATTTGTGGCTAGTTACATGTTTGGGCTGCTTACACTTCTACATTCTGCCTCTTTTTATAGTTCTGGTTTTTGCTTCATTTTTCAAAAGCTCAATCCTATTTCCCTGATATGATACTGACATCCCAGAGTGGGTTCTTTCCTTTGGACAGGCAGAGGCACTTGTGTGGAGATGGCTTCTGTGTATCTTTCCCAGTAGTGCAGAGTGCTAGAATCTTCAATTGCTACTCCAGTGATGTATTTACTAAATTTTTAAGGAATTTTTTTTCAGTGCAAGGGGTTGAACCTAGGGCCTCACACATGCTAGGGAAKCACTTTACTACTGAGATACTTCCGCACTCCATATATTTACTAGTTTGTGTACCTATTTCACTTCCAGAGCATGATGACCGTGTTAGTTTCCCTCAAAGAAGAAAGAAAGGCCGGGGTCCTTTCCGGTGGAAGTATGGTGAGGGGAACCGTCGGTCAGGACGAGGTGGTTCTGGTGTTCAGTCTTCTCGGCTGGAGGAAGATGATGGAGATGTGGCAATGAGTGATGCTCAGGATGGTCCCCGCGTACGATAGTAAGTGACCAATTGGTCTGCTTTGAATTTAATAACCTATTAGATTATATAGCTTTATTATTGTCCTTGTCATTGCTTTTCCCACCTAGAATGATAAACATGTCAAGACCATCTTRATGGTTGAACAGTCTTAATTATAGTCCTGCTAACAGTGCAGGATGGTTTTTTCTAATAGTTATGAACTTTTAATTCTCTACTTCCCCACAGCAACCCGTATGCCACCCGAACTAACCGTCGGGGTGATACTTGGCATGATCGAGGAGGTCGCATTCACATTACTGTGCGGAGAGACAGAGCTCCTCCAGAGAGAGGAGGGGCTGGCACCAGTCAGGATGGGTCCTCTAAGAACTGGTTCAAGATTACAGTGAGTACCTTAGTGTAGGAGGCTGGACTCAGAATGAAAATTATTACTTTTTTTCCCCATAAAAATTCCTTTTTTTTTTTTTTTTTTTGGCTGCTTACTTCAAACTTCACAATTAGGTATCCTTTCTTTCTCCTTTAAAAACAGGTTTTTTGGTTTTTTTTTGGCTGGGTATGGTAATCTCAGCAACTCCTGCCAGAGGGGGGTGGATCRCAAGTTTAAGGACAGTCTCAGTAGTTTGACAAGCAACTTAGTGAGAGCCTGTCTCAAAATAAAAATGACTGGAGATTAGCTCAGTGATAAAATGCCCCYGAGATCATTCCCCAGCCACTGACCCCCAACCAATATTTTTTTTCCCTTTTTTTTTTTTTYCAGTACTGGGGATTGAATTCAGAATTGCACATGCTAGGCAAGTACTGTACCACTGAGCTACATCCCCAGCTAGAATCACTATGTTAGAACACCAAATGGCAGGTTCAGGGAAAGTTCAGTGGGGATAGACAACAGAGTAGAATGAAAATGTAACTGGTTGGGGGCTGGGGATGTGGCTCAAGCGGTAGCATGCGTGCGGCCCAGGTTCGATCCTCACCACCACATACCAACAAAGATGTTGTGTCCGCCAAGAACTAAAAAATAAATATTAAAAAAATTCTCTCTCTCTCTTCTCTCACTCTCTCTTTAAAAAAAAAAAAAAAATGTAACTGGTCGGGAGGTAGAATAACTCCTGATAGCCTCATTTGGTTTAAGCTGAGTGTAGGGCTTGGAGTTCTCTAAGGTGTAGGCAATGTATAAATTATACCTTGGAGCTTTTAGAATTTAAAAAATGATACTTTTGAGGAATAATAAGTGTAAGTGAACAGAAATTCACATGTGTCTTAGGTGGAAAACTTGTGATTGGGCTGGGGTTGTGGTTCAGAGGTAGAGTGCTTGCCTACCATGCATTAGGCACTGGGTTCAATCCTCAGCACCACATACAAACAAAGATGTTGTGTCCGCCGAGAACTAAAAAATAAATATTAAAAATTCTCTCTCTCTCTCTCTCCTCTCTCACTCTCTCTAAAAAAAAAAGAAAAGAAAAAAAAAGCTTGTGATTGATTTTTTTTTTCTTTTGCTGAGGATTGAACCTAGGGCTTCCTGCATGCGAGGCAAGTATTGTACTACTGAACTGCATCCACAGCTATTTTATTTTATATTATTTTATTTTTGGTCCCAGGAATTGAACTCAAGGGCACTTGACCATTGAACCACATCCCCAAAACCTATTTTGTTTAGAGAGAGGGTCTCTCTGAGTTGCTTAGTACCTCACAGTTGTTGAGGCTGGCTTTGAACTCACAATTCTCYCATCTCAGCCTCCCAAGTCACTGGGATTATAGGCGTGCACCACTGCACTGGCTTATTTTATTTTATTTTTTTGAGATAGGGTCTTGATAAATTGGCTAGACTGGCCACAAACTTATGATCCTCYTGTCTCAGCCTCCCAAGTAGTTTGACATGAAGACATGCACCACCACACCTGACCAACTTGTCTTTTCTTTATAAAACCTTTTTGGTTTTTGGTGTGTTTTGTTTTCATTCATTTATGATACTGGGAATTGAACCCAGKGGTGTTCTACCACTGAGCTACATCCCCAGCCTTTTTTATTTTTTATTTTAAAACAAGGTCTTACTAAATTGCCCATGCTGGCCTGGAACTTGAGAACCTCCTGCCTCAGCTTCCCAAGTTGCTAGTGTTACAGGCATGCATGACCATGCCCTGCCTTTTTCCTTTTTGTGGTTCTGGGAATGTGCTTGRGACCTTGATCTTTTTAGGCACCTGCTTTACCACTGAGCTATGCCTCCAGCCCTAGAAAACAATTTAAAGCTCCGCAGAAGGTACAAAAGGAGAGCTGGGTTGAGACAGCTGTTCAACCTTAGTTACATGGTGTTCTCTTCTGTTTGCTTTCTCTCCCTTCTAGATTCCTTGTGGCAAAAAGTATGACAAAGCTTGGCTTCTGAACATGATTCAGAGCAAATGCAGTGTCCCTTTCACCCCCATTGAGGTAAGATAAGGACTGAGTGGCTGACTAGGCACCAGAGACAGTATGGGCCCAGCTGGGTAAGGTGCTCTTGATTCAAGTCTAATGCTCTTGTTTCCTCTTTTTAAGTTTCATTATGAGAACACCCGGGCCCAGTTTTTTGTGGAGGATTCCAGCACTGCTTCTGCATTAAAGGCTCTCAAYTATAAGATTGTGGGTCAGGATAACCGAAGGGTAGGTGTAAAGGCCCTAGCTTGGCTGATGGTGGGAACTGCTACACAGGACAGGGACAGTTCTTGGTCCTGGGGCTTTCCCTGGAGTTTACTCTTTCTTTGTGTCTTCTCTCCAGATACCTATCATCATCAACCCCTCTGCTCCACCCTATGTTGTACAAAATGAACTGAAGCCAGAACAAGTAGAGCAGCTAAAGGTGAGGCCAGCTCAAGTAACATGTGTTTCAWCCAAGTCTTACTTCTCACACTTACCCACCCACTCATCCCAACATGCCCATTTAGCCCTATTGACCACTAAATCCTTTATCTTCCTGTGTAGCTTATTATGAGCAAACGTTATGATGGTTCCCAACAAGCACTTGATCTCAAGGGCCTTCGTTCAGACCCAGGTATGTCTGACAATAGATTCTCAGCTAGATGGAGACAGAATGGGATTTGTCACCCAGGGAAAGTTTGAGGATGATTTAGTGCTAATGCTGATGTGACAAGTCCTCTCAGACTTCCCTTTCTTTCTGCTTTCTGAAGATTTGGTGGCCCAGAACATTGATGTTGTCCTGCATCGAAGAAGCTGTATGGCGGCTACCCTACGAATCATTGAAGAAAACATCCCTGAGGTGAGGCTTTGGGCCCAGTATTAAACATGAGGAAGCAGGGAGGGAGAGGTAGGATGGGATAGGGTGATCTACTCACTGGTTACCTTTCTTCTAAACTCTTTTCTACTCCACAGCTTTTATCTTTGAACTTGAGCAACAACAGGCTTTACAGGCTGGATGTCATGTCCAGCATTGTACAGAAGGCATCCAACCTGAAGATCTTAAATCTCTCTGGAAATGAAGTGAGGACTGATAGTTTGATGTGGTTTTGATGGGGTAGCAGAGGATGGGGAGGGCATGCTTGACTGGCAGGAAGTAAAAGGGAGACCTTAGGAGGATAGGGATTAGAGGTGTAAGGATCTACCTGTTTTCCTCACCACATCCATTTCCTCCTTGTTTTCTTCCTCCTYTACAGTTGAAGTCTGAGCGGGAGTTGGATAAGATAAAAGGGCTGAAGCTGGAAGAGCTGTGGCTTGATGGAAATCCCCTGTGTGACAGTTTCCAAGACCAGTCTACCTACATCAGGTCAGTCATAGCCTCTGTTTCCCTCCTGGGGACCTTCAACCCCTGGGAGGCTGAGTTAATGCACCCTGACCAGTGCCCATCTGCAGGAGATGTGCAGCCCTGAGCTGGAACCACTTGTCCTTTGGGAGGACCACACGCTCCTCCTTTTCGTCTGTCTGTCTCTCTCAGCTTTGTCCCAAAATCCCTTCTTTTTTCTCACCTGATTACTGTTTGCTGGTTCTATGGCCTTTCTCCTTCCTTCCTGAACACAGCCTTTTCTAGACTCTCCCTACCCTATTGTTCCAGGAAGGACACCTCCTCATTTCTACTTTGACTGGAGGGTGTCTTGTATATTCCCCATCCATGGGGTTACCTTGGGCTAAGAGCCTGGAATGCTTAGGCTGATAAAGCCCTCCCTAACTGGGACTTCCTAATGAGATGGGCCTTTCTCCTCTTTGTCCTTTGATGACCCCTCTTGCATTGCACCAAGAGGGACACTATTCTCACAAGCTACTTGTCCAAGGCTGTAGTCTGGACTTTCCTGCCCATGCTAAGGTTGAAGCCTCCTGGAGGCTGGTACTATGCCATATGTCTCTCTCACCCAGTGCTGTGAGCTGGGCCCTCACTGGAGAAGAAACCTGGGTTTCCCAAAACCTGTGACCAGAGCCGGGGCCCCGCCAGCAGGCGAGGGGATCCTAAGGCAGATGCTGGGCGTGGAGGCCACGGGGGCATTGGCTAMCAAGGAGACGGAGAACTGACCCTCTCGGGGGCAATGCCCCTCCCTCACTCGCACACCTCACATCACCCTGTTTGGCCCCGGAGGATGGCTGGTTAGCCAGAGACGGGTAAGATTCCTCAGGGAAGGAACAACCTAAGACAGGCACAGTCGCAGAGGGGCCATCAGGAGAGAACTTGGGGGCCAACAGAGGTGGGGCACAGAACCTCACCCCCCCAACTTTGCAGGGGCCTGAAACTTCACCCCTTCTGAGGGAGGTCTCCTGCCCCCATGGCTGCTTTGCTTCCCACGCCCAGCTCAGATCGGGACCCAGGTAGCAGACAGAGGCCTGGCCAACAGCAGCTGCCCACCCGCCACAGCAGGATTTGCTTTCTGATTTTACCTTGGACCACAGGGAAAGGGCAGCTTAAGGAAAGGGCTGTGTTTGGATGTTTTTCTTGTTTTCCCCCTTCTCTTCCTTATGCCTCTTTGCCTGTGGTTCTTTCCCTTTTTCTTTGCTTTCTCTTTCCTTTTCTTCTCTTTTCTCTCCTATCTTTCCCCTGTCCCTGCTCCACCCTACCTTTATTTCTTTCTTCTTTCCTCTCTTCCTTTGCCTCCTTTGCTCCTGAGCCCCACCTTGCTCATCTCCTTGCCCCAACATCCTGTGCCATCCCTGTGGTGTGTTCTGGTCTTGGCCAAGGCCAGACCTGGCAGAACCGATGGATACCTGGTGAGGCAGCGGAGCCCATGGGCTCCCACCCCATTCCCTCCTCCCGGGGCTGCACAGGTGAGTAGGTGGAAGGTAAGGGGGGCAAGAAGGGGGAAGGAGGTCCTGGGCTTAAAGCCTGGGCTGGGAGTGCTGCTCCTGTGGCACTCAGGGTCAGGCAGAGAGAAAAGAGACAGCCTTCAAGGCAGTCCAGTCTGGGTGCCCCAGGTGAGGTGGGGAATGGGGCTACTTTTCTCTAAGTACAGGCTGGGGAGGAGCCGGGCGATGAGCAATGGGACGGGCTGTCCCTTGGGTGTTGATGTTGTTTGCTCCTAGAGCAGCCCAGGAGGCATTGGTGGCTCTGAAGCATCACTCACTTCTGTCCCGTTCTTGACAGCGCCATTCGCGAACGATTTCCCAAGTTACTACGCCTGGTAAGTCTAAACTTTTCATTCTCTTCTAATAAGCATGGCACCTTCTTCTCCTAAGATTGTTCCTACATGACCATTAATCTGGAGTCATGCATGGATCCCTTTGAGAATTTGATAAAGATGATAATTCTTCCCAGAGAAATGCCTGTAGGCTGAATTTTCATACTCAGGATTCCTGGTTATTTCTCATGCTTCTTTAACACTTGACTGCTGACCCTTCACTCAGCCCTCATCTTCTTACACATCTAGCCATTTTTCTTTAGTTTATACTCGGTTTTCATTTCTTTCCACAGGATGGCCATGAGTTGCCCCCACCAATTGCCTTTGATGTTGAAGCCCCCACAATGTTGCCACCCTGCAAGGTGAGGAGTGGGGATGGAGTTAGAACATGTGTGGGGAGAGAACTGCTTCCATGTTCCTAATGTCTTTTTCGTTCCAGGGAAGCTATTTTGGAACGGAGAACCTAAAGAGTCTGGTTCTGCACTTTCTGCAGCAGTAAGTATGCTAGGGCCCCTGAGGCTGGGGAAAGTGGGAGGCCCAAGCACAGCTCACTTTTGGGAGCTACTGTGTCTTCTTTGCACAGGAGTTCAGACATTTCCTTTTTTTTTCCCCCCCTCATAGATACTATGCAATTTATGACTCTGGAGACCGGCAGGGGCTTTTGGATGCCTACCATGATGGGGCCTGCTGCTCACTAAGCAGTCCAATCACGACCCATAACCCTGCCCGGTGAGTCTCATATCCCAGCACCTGYCCAGGACCACAGGATTTCCCCAGAAGATACATAGGCCACACTGCTCTGACCACCACCTCCTTTTCTTCCTTTTCCCACAGAAGCAACTTGGCTGAATACATCAAGGACWGCAGAAATGTGAAAAGGATTAAAGACCCACGTAAGTGTGCGATATGGGCAAGATAGGATGGGAGCAGAAAATGGGAAGGAATCTGAGAGCTCAGGAGTACGTGGCTGTCCCAACTTTGCTTTTTCCTCCTTCTGCCCATAGCCACGCGGTTCMGGTTGCTGAAACACACACGTCTCAACGTTGTCGCCTTCCTCAATGAGTTGCCCAAAACTCAGCATGACATCAATTCCTTTGTGGTAGACATAAGTGCCCAGACAGTAAGCATGTATTTCTGCCCTTATAGAAGCCTAGCATTGGGTGGAGGGCATAGCAAGGGCAGCATTTACAAGAGTGTGGGGTAGGGTGCTCAAGCTCTGGCTAGAAATCTATATCACACCTGGTACATCTTCTCTTCCAGAGCACATTGCTGTGTTTTTCTGTCAATGGGGTCTTCAAGGAAGGTGAGAATATTTTGAGTTCTGAGTTTGTGGTGGGGTCCCTCCCTCAGCAAGAATCTTTCTTGGTATTCTTAGCTTCCCAACTACCTTCTTTTCTTTCCTGGCCTCCTTCACCATTCYGCCCAAGACATTTTTGCTTAGCCTGCCTTCTTTACCTGTCTTATCTGCAATGTGGGAAAAGTATAGGAATTAGGCAGATCCAGACTGTGAAGTCAGGCAGGTCTTAGTTTCCTTCCAGTCTTGGTTCTATGGTTCTGTGGGAAAATTGCATTAACTCTGAGCTTCAAATGCTTAATTTGTAAGATGGGGTTTAATAATAACCCACTCATAGGGTGTGAAATGACTTGGAAAGTGCTTAACCCAAGGCCTGGCATATGTGCTCTCTGAGAGGGTTAGTAATTGTTATTGTCCTCTCTGACCTTTCACCAACCATTGCTCCCCTATTAAACACAATCATCCCAATTTGGCCCACTTAGTGTTTTTTGTATCAAAGACCACAGTTTGAGAACCTGTTTATAAGTATAAAACATAAGTGATTCTAAGTGGTCATTGCTGCTGTTCTCACTGTAGTGGATGGAAAATCTCGAGATCCTTTGAGAGCCTTCACGAGGACATTCATCGCTGTTCCTGCTAGTAATTCAGGGTAAGTGTTCTGCTTACTACACTGGGTGTACCAGACCCAGTATCTGGTCAGCAGTGTGGAAACTGGAAGCCAGTCAGTCCTCAGGGTGTCTTCAAAATTTCACAAAGGCAGCAGGAATCAGGAGGCTGCTGTAGTGGTTAAGTACTTGGCTCTAGCGTTAGACCATCTGGGTTTTCATAGTGGCTCCATCACTTTTAGCTATAGCCAACTTTGCTCATCTGGAAATTTTTATAACAATATTTACTGCCTAAGTTTGTTATAAAAATAAACAAAAGAGTAACAACTCTCCATGGATTAGGGGAGAATGTATAATTCTAGTATTTGGGAGATAATCCTAAACATGGAGTCCATTAGAAGAAGGAACAAATGGTAAAAAGCAACAGCTAAGACTGGGAGGGGACCACATAGGTATTGAAATAATTTGAGTGCAAATGTCAGAGAATAGCGGTGATGTTGGGGAGCAGTGAGGTTATTTGTCCGGCCAGTTGTTTAAGGTGCTCTTYGTCTCCAAGGTTATGTATCGTTAATGATGAGCTATTTGTGCGGAATGCCAGCCCTGAAGAGATCCAAAGAGCCTTTGCCATGCCTGCACCCACACCTTCCTCCAGCCCTGTGCCCACCCTCTCCCCGGAACAGCAGGAAATGTTACAGGCGTTCTCTACCCAGTCTGGCATGAACCTCGAGTGGTCCCAGAAGTGAGTGCTGTACCTACAGGACAGGGGTAAACTGAGGTGGGACTGGTAGAGAATGATGAGTACTCCTGAAATTTTAAAAGCCAAAACCGTTTAGTTCCTTAAAATACAAACCAAGTGAGGTGGTGCATGCCTGGAATCCCAGTGGCTTGGGAGGCTGAGGCAGAAGTATTGCAAGTTCAAGGCTAACCTCAGCAATTTAGTGGGTCACTTTCAAAAATAACAAGTATGGGCTAGGGATACAGCTCAGTTGGTAGTGTACTTGCCTTGCATGCACAAGGCCYTGGGTTTAATCCCCARCACCAYACACACACATAAAAAGGACTAGGGATGTAGCTCAGTACTTAAGTGCCCTGGGCTCAATTCCTAGGGCCAAAAAACTGGGCACAGTGGTCCATACATGGAAACCGAGCTACTTGGGAGACTAAAGCAGGAGGATTCCCAGTTTGAGGGCCAGACTGGGCAACTTGTCAAGATAAAAAGTACTACGATGCAGCTCAGTGGTAGAAAGTCCCTAAGTTTAATTCCCTATACTRGGGATAAAGTGAGGTGGGGTGGTGCATGCTTATAATCACAGCTACTTGAGGCAGGGGGATCACAAGTTGAAGGCCAAAAGGGCTGAAAATCACATTTTTAAGTGCAAGTACAGCAGATAATTGTTGATGGTGTCTCTGGAGGATCGCTTCTGAAATAGCCCTTAGTGTTCAGGGTGAGTACATTTTGGTTCTCATGGAACTTCCTGTTCTTCGCTGCCAGGTGCCTTCAGGACAACAACTGGGACTATACTAGATCTGCCCAAGCCTTCACTCATCTCAAGGTAAGATTTGGGAATACTATGGCAAAAAGACAGGGCTCTCTGAGCCTTGGAGAAGGTTAAGTGAGGGTCAAATGAGTAAGGCATTGGGGAYAGAAAAGGGACACCTGGCTGTACTGACCTTTTATTTTTTTCCAGGCCAAGGGTGAGATCCCAGAAGTTGCATTCATGAAGTGATCCATAGTTGTGCTCCAGAAGTGCGTGTGTAAATAGCCCTTGGATATTATTGTATGGTTGTCATCCCTTGCCTTCTGTCCGGCCGGAGGCCACCCTGTGACTGTGACTGAGGAGGGAGGTCTGTGGATCCCGCTCCTCACCTGCCTTCTGGAAGACTTCCTGAAGACTTCCAGAAGATTGAGCCTCACTGGTGCCAGGAAGCCAAAGCTCACTTTGTAGAACTGACACTAAACTACCCGAAGGACTTAGGTGCTTTGTGTACTTAGCCCCAGGATTCCCCTTACTTTTTAAGATAAAGAGTGATATTGTATTTTGCCTCTGCGTTCTGGATTGCTTCTCGTGGCGGGCGGGGCCTCGGCAGGAAGTCCCGCCTCTGAAGCAGAAGTGGCCTGCCCGCCATGGCGGCAGCTTGGAGGTGTTCTCATGGGCTGCTTGTGGCGCTGCGGCTCCTGCCCACGCGCCAGGCCCTGCACCACGCGACCCCGGCGCAGGATGTGCTACTCTTCGAGCATGAGCGGGGCCGGTTCTTCACTATCCTCGGGCTCTTCTGTGCCGGCCAGGGCATCTTCTGGGCCTCCCTGGCCTTCACAGCTTGGTCTGCACCCCCGGTCCAGGCGCAACCCCTGGATGCAGAGGCCCCAGACCGCGGCCGCTTGGACCTGCGCGCTGTGCTCTGGCGCTACGGGCTGGCGGTCAGCTGCGGTGCCATCGGTAAGGCGTGGGCCGGCTTCTCTACCTGGAACCGGGCAGTGGGCTCTAGGCTCAGTCAAGGAGAGATGAGCAGAAGAGGGCGCTGTAGTCCCTGGGCGCCACATCCACTCAGCGCTCTGTCCTTGAGCAAATTTAAGTTTTAAGCCCCTTTCCTGAGTTTTAAAATGGCGATAGACATCGCGTAGAAGTTTGTTAGATATAAGAGGTTCCCACTCAAAAATGTTAGTCACACTCATATCTTTTACTCAAAGGGAAAGGGTTGGTGTGTGTCCTTTCAGTGAACACACCTCACCCCGCTGCTGTGCTCTTCTGTAGGGACCCTGGTACTGGGTGCTGGTCTTCTCTTCTCTCTACGATCTGTGCGTTCAGTGATGCTTCGAGCAGGAGGGCAGCAGGTGACCCTGACCACTCATGCCCCTTTTGGCTTGGGAGCCCCTTTCACCGTCCCCTTGAACCAGGTATCCTGCATGGCCCACCGAGGAGAAGTCCCTGCTATGCTGCCTCTGAAGATCAAAGGCCATCGCTTCTATTTCCTCTTGGACAAAGCTGGRCACTTCCCMAACGTTCAGCTCTTTGACAACACTGTGGGTGCCTACCGGAGCTTGTAAGAAGCCACCTTGGGTCTTTCACTCCCTCTCAGAAGGAGACAAAWAAAAAAGGGAAAACAAAACAAAATTGAACCTTATGGATGAGGTGACAACCAGGGTCACCAAGGGGGAACCTAAGATTCAATAGTAACAATTAAAAGAGTTGTCTAAAGGGAAGTTGCCTGATCCATGCCTGTTTCACCTTCACTCCTTCCCATCACCTACTTGTTTTAACATCAAGAACACAATACCAAAATGAAGAAAGTAATACTAATATTTTGGTACAAAAACAGCTATAGGAAGAGAGGTGGAGAGGGGCCTGTTACCTTTCCCTCCTGGAGGGAAAACTGGGGCTTTCAGCACTAACAGGGCTGTGTGGGGACAAGAGGATTACAGGCACTTGGGCACAAAGTCGTTGGCTGCAGAATGCACTATTTGGTTACTCTTCAGGAATGGGASAGGCGTGGCCCAACAAGAACATCTGTCTCAGAGCTCCACTCAGGGTCTCCCCTCTCCAGAGGTCGGTATGGGGTGGCTTCAGACTTCCACTGCATGACCTGGAGCACCAAGACCACACACCATAATACCAGATTCACCCATGAAGAGGTCTGTGGGAGACAGAACAGGAATGTGAGGAGTCAGGCCATCACAGATCCAGTCCTTCCACCCACACACAAGTCTGTCAGGCTGACACGCCCTTYAGCTCCTCTTAGCTTGTCAGTGGTAGGCCAAGCTCATATTCATTGGTGAGCATCCTTATAGCTACAGATACTTGTATGAATCAGTGTGTCTCTGGGTCTCACTTCAGCATTGTGTAGGTTGGAGTAAAACTGCAGAGCTGTTCCAGGGGGTGTCCATGGAATTTTCTGAGCTTCAGAGCAGCTATGAGATCAAAGAGACAGTTTTCAGAAAGAAGTGGGGATACACCCTAAGCATATCTGTACCCAGGTGCCCTTTGAGGTAGAGAGCAACAGACAGAAAATGGGAGGTTACAGGACTCCCCCTCTGCAGAAGGAAGGTAGCCCCAGCCAGGCTTCCCTCCCACCTCATTACCTAATTGTACTGTTCAGGGAGATGATGGAATTGCAGAAGGATCTGGTGCCAAATCGAAGGATACAGGCAGATACTAAGACCAGGAAGATGGCTATAGCTGAGATGGCCAGTGCAACGCGGAGCCCTATAAGACCTCTGGGGGAGASAACAAACCTTGCGGTTGATGGCTTCATCCCACCTCAGCCCCTGGTCCTTGGGTTGGGACATTCACCTTTTTGAGTCTTCAATGCAGCTGCTGTAGACCCAGAAGAGCAGAAGCAGGAGACAGTAGAGGGCCAGGAAGCCAGAGGCCCCTGCCACAAAGTAGCAGAGGGATGGGGCCGAGGAATGGGATAAGGCCAGGAAGGAGCCATTCCGGGTGGTCATACCATACAATGGACAGCTACCCCTGAAGGAGCCCTGTGGAGAGAAGCTGCTGAGTCTCAGATTTCAGTCAGTGCCTCATGATGCAGGTTTCTGGCAGGTGTTAGGAATATAGGCCAGTGCCACTCTAGAAATTATGTGTGCATTGTTAGTTCCTGTTTCTGGCATGAGAAACTAGTATAGAGGGCCTGTTGGGTAAACCTCAGTGGCCAGAATGATCAGGATGTAGGCAGTGGTTATAGAAGACAAAGAACTTAAAAAGTCTCACAAACTCTGGTCTTCCTTTGTGCAGAAATCACAGAGACCTGTGTGACCTTCAAAAAGTATCTCCAGTGTTATCTAGTCTGTAAAAGAGRCATACTAGCGCCTACTTTATAGTGGCTTAATGGTCCCATGTTTAACAAGATTGCCTGACAGTAGTAAACAATCAGTTTTCTACAGGGCTGTTGTCACTTAACATAGTTRCAAGTGTGGCTGCTTGATCACCTTCACTACACTAAGCTTTATTTCTCTTATAGCTCAGCACAAATGGCTCCTGATTCATCCGATGAACGCAGGGCCGGGGCTGAAGTCTCTTTCAGAACCAGGGCAAAGTTACGCAGAGGGAAGCTCTATCTGGCGATGCACGACTCTCCTGGCATCTGGTCCCTTTGCCGAAGGAATGGCTTCGGTAGGACCTGACTGGGCCAAGCCAGGGCACGGCGAGCGTCGCTGCATTTCAACCGCAGGCCAGCCGTCGCCGGGCCAGAGTCGCAGCCTGCCTGGCCACCCGCCCGGCCCTGCCCCGCCCCCAGCCGCACCTGGGTCCGGGTGAGCGTCGCGGCCGCCACGGCGCCGCACAGGAAGGCGGCGGCAAAGAGCGCGAGCTCGACGCGCTGCAGCCAGGGCAGCGCCATGGCGCCCAGGCCCCGGGAAGCAGCGCCTCGGAGCCAGCCGCCCAGCCCCGCCTCTTCCGGCGCGACCCATGGACGCGGAGCCACCACTTCCGGACGCGACATTTATTTGGGAGGCGGGGACAGGCAACCTCAGAGCGGTAGGTACAGCGAGTAGTCCGACAGCGCCCAGCGACGGGCCGGGCGGCCGGTGCGGCCGATCATGGGCAGCTTCTGCACATAGCGGGAGGCCGGGCTGGGCCCGTAGGGCGCGGGGAAGGCAGTCTGGAAGAGGCGCCCGCGGCAGCGCCGCCCGGCCTGCCGCCCGGCGATGATGAAACGGAAGTGGGGGGCGCCGCGCGGGGCAAAACGGCTCTTCTGGAAGACGTCGCGCGTGCCGGCGCCCGGGCCCTGCTGCCGGGGCGCTCCCCGCGCCCGGTGCACGCGCGGCAGCGGCCTGCCCTCAGAGGGCGCAGGCGCCGAGGCCGACGGGGGACCGCCGCCACCCCGGGGGCTCTCGTCACCCTGCGGGCTGACCACGGCACTGGCCGTCAGCTGCGGCATTTTCCGCACTGAGTCCGGGGCGGCTGCCGGCTCTTTCTTCTCGCCGGGCGGCCTTGGGGCAGTGGGTGCAGGCTGGCCCGTGCCAAAGCGGATGGCCAAGCTGTCACCGAAGAAGGCGTAGAGCTCACGGTAGATGTCCGCCAGGGTCACTGAGGGAAAGGGGTCCTCAGGCCCCGCTCCCCCTGGTGGCAGCGGAAGACCAGACCCAAAGCTTGGCTCTGCACCGCCCCCGGAAGGAGACTCCTGAAGGAGAAGGCTGTCCCAAGGCAGGTCTTCCGAACGCCGGAACCCCCTGCCGCCTGGGCCACCCGCGCTGGGCTCTGCTGCTTGAGCCTTCATCTTCAGGAGGCGCTCTACAGCCACCTGTAAGAGGAAGGGACGAGGATGAGCCTAAGCCCATCAAGTACTCCAAAGTAAGCGTGCTGAGCTCATTGGGGGAAGGAGGCTAGAAGGGGTTGATACTCACCAGAATGGCTCCATAAACTTTGTGTCCATCTGCTTTGACCTGAGCATTAGATACAGAATAATCATCCAGCACAGCCTGMAGGTTTGTCCAGTAAGTAGACAGGTGTGGGTACAGGACTCTTTCTACTGCCTGGAAAGAAGAAATGCAATACGTCTCTTTGTTGTGTTGTTTATTGCCTCTCAGGTACCCTTTTCCTGGGAAAGACCTAATTTTATCTGATTCTATATAGGGCTCAATACTCCTAAACTCTTAACTGGGATATTCAGCCAACGTTTATTTGGAACCTTCGTATATGCCCAAGGCTTTGTTAAGCAATGCTGATAAAGATAAGAGTACAAAGTCAGAAAATATGAAGTGACCCCACCATCCTGCTATATTGTTTGCTGGAGGCTAAGCGAGCATATGTTAAAAATCCTTGCTAACAACACAGATTAACAGTTTGCAGACTAGTGAACACAGTCATAAGGAGCAAGTACAGTTCTCATTTAGATGTAAAGTGTAACTCAGTTCAGGCCATCTGCACAAAAAACACCAGAGAAATAGACTCTGATTATACAATTTTAAATCTTGTAATTAATTTGAGGGAAATGCAACTAAGACTTGGAGATGACATTTGTTGGATAAGGCAGATTTTGGTCACTCATTCACAGGATAAACTTTTGAAAATGTTGACAAAACTCAAAATTCATAGAAAAACTATTAACTTACTGCTGACTCACAAAGAAATATGAAAGTTTAAATAACTAAAATACATTAAAATAATAGTTAAAAGTTACAAAGAAAACCATGCCAAAATTCTACCAAAGTAAAAGGGTTATCTCAATTTATAAAAACAAATATTTTAAAAAATGTTATTTCCCTTCATTCTGCAAGGCCAATACAATCCTTATACTAAACCTAGATAGCACATGAGAAAAACATGATTGATTTAACTCAATATAAATATTTTTGCCAGGAATGGTGGCACACACCTGTAATCCCAGCAACTCAGAAGGCTGAGGCAGGAGGATACCAAGTTCAAAGCCAGCAACTTAGTGAGGCCCTAAGGTTGCTTATCTCAAAATATAAAAAGAGCTGGAGATGTGGCACAGTGTTTCAATCCTAGATAGATAATTTTRAAGTTTAGCAATCCCCGCAGTATAAAAATGTAACATGGGCTGGGGTTGTGGCTTAGCAGTAGAGCACTTACCTAGCACATGCAAGACCCTAGGTTCAATCCTCAACACCACATAAAAATAAAAAAAAAAAATGTGTCCATCTACAACTAAAAATATATTTTTAAAACAATGCAACATATTCCATTAAAAGCTTTGGGTTTCCTTTAAGTCTATACCATGACCAAGTGGAGTTTATCCTAGAAATGTAACCATAATTTATCAGAAAATCCACCTGGTGTGGTGGTGTGAAACTATAGTCCTGCTTAGGAAGATGAAGTGTGAGGATCACTTGAGCACAGGAATTCAGTGCCAGCCAACCTGAGAAACGGGGTGAGACATCATCTCAAAAATAAAACAACAATAACAAAATTAAGAGTTTAGCTCATTGGTGGAGCACCCGCCTAACATGCCTGATGCCCTGGGCTCCATCCCCAGCACTGGGAAAAAAAAGAGAAAAAAAATCATTAATCACACTGGCAGATAAAAGCAGAAAAATCTTAGGATCATTTGGAAAAAAGCAGATAGAGCCAGGTGCAGTGAATCCTATAATCAGCTATTCAAGGGGCTGAGGCAGGAGGATCACAGGTTCAAAGTCAGCCTCAGCAACTTATCAAGGCCTTAAGCAACTCAGTGAGACCCTGTCTCTAAATAAAATACAAAAAAGGGCTGGGGATATGCCCCAGTGGTTAAGTGCCCCCGAGTTCAATCCCTGGTACTAAAAAAAAAAAAAAAAAGGAGGGGGACTGGGGTTGCCCTTCAGTGTTAAAGAGCCTGCCCAGCATGTGAGAGACACTGGGTTCTATTCTCAGCACTGCATATAAATAAATGAATAAAATAAAGCCCATCAACAACTAAAAATACATATAAAAAATTTAAAAAATTTGGAGTTGTAGCTCAGTGGTAGAAAATGTCTAGTGTATGTGAGGCAATGGGTTCAATCCTCAGCACCACATAAAAATAAATAAATAAAGGTATTTAAAAATAAAGCTGGGGCTGGGGATGTGGCTCAAGC